TATGAGACCATTATCAGGGTTGTAGTAAAGATTTATTGTGATAATGGATGTAAAATGCCTGGCATAAATTGGGCTGCCTTGTTGGTTGCAGAACAATCCTGAATGGCCTCAAAACTGTTCTTTCCCTCTTAAATACTCATGAGAGATTGCTTAGTATTCTGTATATTCTACATGCCCCAAAGGTAACAAATCTCACTGAAAAAAAAATGACCATGTACTTCTTTTTCTGTCTGCAAATATCATTTTTAAATTTTGTCAAATCAAAATATTATTTTTTTAATTTAAAAGAAATCTTATGCAAATCTTAATATAAGGGTAAGTGGGGACCTACTCTACTTTAAGCAGTGGTAGGTATGCCAAGCAAGTTGCTCACAGTTAATCTTCTTCATAATATATTTCCCAAAAGCTCCCAAGGTAGCTGAGTAGTAGAATGCTAGCTTTCTCTAGATCAGAGTTTGGGAATACATATGCTGAGGAATAGCCCTTTACACTTAACGTCTCAAAAAAAAAAAAAAAGTCTATGATTTGACCCATATGTGGACAAAGTGAAGTTCAAAGTGAGTACTCCAGAAGTAGAGTACGGTGTCTGCAGTAGCAGGTCTGAACCTCTGTGGTATGTGTATCTATATTTCTTAAGTACAATCTTGCTGATGAAGGCTGAAGACGCTTTGCTTCACAAAGCAGTGTCTTGAATTACTATGCTCTGATGAATCACTGATGATGTTTTAGTATTGTTTTGGTTAATTACTAAATTGTAAAATGAATATTCTGATGCCAAGAGTGTATCCAATAGAGAAGTCAAATTAATTTTGCATCAAGGGTTTGGTTATAATTGAAGTATTGAGAAATTATATCTTCCTATTTGCAAGACATAGCACCCTCAGGTGAAGTAACTGCTGTAACACAGTGATTGCTCCAGCGAGCTGATGTCTCTGAAAACAATTAAAGAATATATTAATGCACCATGTCAGGACTGCAGAAGCTTCATTTACATGGTGACAGCTCCTCTTTGTCTGCTGCCTACAAATTACTTGCTGGGTAAAAGAAATTAGTTGAGACAAGTTCACTAAATTTGGACAGCAAAGGCAAAGATTATTTTGTACAATACCTCAAAAGCACCGGTAACAAAACAAAAAATAGACAAAGGGGATTATATCAAGCTTAAAAACTTCTGCACAGCAATCAACAAAGTGAAGGGACAAACCACAGAAGGGAGAAAAATATTTGCAAACTATACATTTGACAAATGATACCTAGAATATATAAGGTGCTCAAACAATAGCAAAAACAAATAATATAATTTTAAAATGGACAAAAGACATGACTATATATTTCTCAAAATGAGATACAGGTATAAACCTCAAAATGGACAACAGGCATATGAAAAAAAATGCTCACCATCACTAATCATTAGAGAAATGCAAATAAAACCCAAATGAGATGTCATCGCTCCCCAGTTAAAATGGCTTTCATCAAAAAGGCAGGCAATACATATTCTAGTGAGGACATGGAGAAAGTAGGTGTAAACTGTAGGTGTGAATGTAAATTAGCACAGCCACTGTAGAAAACTGTATGGATGTTCCTCAAGAAGCTAAAAATGAAGCTACTATATGATCCCACAATTCCATCGCTTGGTATATATCCTAAAGAAAGGAAATCAATATCTTAAAGTGATATCTGCACTCCCATGTTTATTGCAGCACTATTCACAATAGTCTAAATTCACAAAATACTAAATCAATGTAGGGCCCATCAGTGAGTGAATGTGGTATAGATACACAACAGAATACTATTCAGAAAAATAATGAAGACATTGAAAATAATGAAAAATAGAAAAACAATGCAATCCTGCCATTTGTAGCAACATGGATGGAGCAGATCATTAAACAAGGGGTCTATAAAGTTTGTGTGCAATTTAAAATAGTTTTACTATTTTACTTAATGTTAAGTAAAATAAGCCAAGTACAGAAATACAAATATCACATGTTCTCATTCTTATGTGGGAGCTTAAAAAGGGGATCTCATGAAGATACAGAAAAGATTTGTTTTTACCAGGTGTCAGGAAGGGTAGTGGGGCAGGAAGATGATGTTAATGGCTACAAATAACACATTTTGGTAGAAGAAATAAGTCCTAGTGTTTGATAGCTCAGTAGAGTGACTATGGTTTACAATAGTCTATTGTATATTTCAAAATAGCTGGAAGAGAAGAGAATAATTTGAATAATTTGGATGTTTATAGCATAAAAATAAGACACATATTTAAGGTGACTGATTTCTCAATTACACAGATTTGATCTTCCCCAATGATATGAATGTATTAAATTAGCACGTGTGCCCTGAAAATATGTGCATCTATTATGCATCATTAAAAAATTTAAAAACAATTTAGCCAGCAGAAGAGGAGAGCCTTCTGAAAAAGGGAGCACTTGCTAGCCATCAGCAACTTTTGAGATACTATGAAGATTTGTATCTCTCTCTAACACAGCCCCCATCCATTTGTTGATGTCTGGAAGGGATAAAGCTTCTCCACTTTTAGAGAGGATATTTCTCACCTCCTGTAGGAGGAATCAGAGAAGCAGAAACTTAACTGCATCCCAGGAGGCAGAATGGTTCGGTTGCCATGAACACATGGTTTCTAGAGACAGATACTACTGGTTTGAAACCCCACTTTGTAGTTTAACTAATTGCATTACCTTACATTTGGCACACATCACACTGAGCCTCGTGTCAAGCATCACCTTGAAAATGAGCCCCCACTCATCAGCATTAAAGGTGTCATCATTTTTGAAGTCTCTGGTGAGGTCTGAGAACTTTTTGATGAACTCTCCCACAACTTCTGCTAGAACTTCACTGGACCCGCCACACAAGGTTTTCTGGGAGATCTCATTTTGCAGTTGAAATTTCTGAAATCAGGTGGCACCTGTGGCTCAAAGAGTAGGGCCCAGGCCCTATATGCTAGAGGTGGTGGGTTCCAACCCAACCCCAGCCCCAGCCAAAAAAAAAAAAAAAAAAAGAAAAGGAAAGAAAAGAAAGAGAAAAAGGAAATTTCTCAAGCCAGCCACTTGATGCTGGGAAATCTGCCACCCTAAATTAATGATTTTTTTTTAGCAACTTTTTATTTTTGTTTTTTTATTAAATCATAGCTGTGTACATTAATACTATCATGGGGTACAGTGTGTTGTTTTTATATACAATTTGAAATATTTTCATCAAACTGGTTAACATAGCCTTCATGTCATTTTCTTAGTTATTGTGTGAAGACATTTATATTCTACATTTAGAAAGATTCACATGTACCCTTATAAGATGAACCATAGGTGTGATCCCACCAATGACCCTCCCTCCACTGATCCTCCCTCCTCCCCTCCCCTCTCTCTCCCCTTCCCAATATTTTTGGGCTTATCAGCCCAGACATTCAAGCATTAACTTCCCTCATTTGTTTTAACCAGCTTAATAAGGCTTCATTGATTGTATCAAGGGATGTTTTCCTCCTTTTCTGCTGTAGGTATCCACTTTCCTTACCATGTCTCACCAAGTACTCATGTTTAAGTTTTTGGATGTTGCTAACACCAAAATGTTCTGATGTCTTTACTTGACTGCTGCTTTCCAGAAAATGTAGATCAACATTTTCTTTCAATGTTAGCCCTTTGAGTTCTTTCCTTTGGACCATCATGTCTAGATGAACTGTAAAATTTTTCACTAATTGTAGGATATACCTATAATTCAGATCAGTCTTTCACATTGAAAAAATATGCCATAATACATGATAAACAATAGGATGTTAGGTCTAATCCAACATGTGGCAATAATAAAACATGAAACAAGAACTTATACAAAAGGAAAAATAATACAGCTAAAGGCCAAAGCCCACACCTTCTACCCCTTGGTGTAGAGTGAACTCAACTGATCAAGTTATAGAAGGTAAATTAATATTATATGTCACAGTCCAAATGACCAAGATATAACTTACAGAGGTGGTCAGTCTTCCATTGAGTACATGTGGTATATGTCTGGTTAATGACAGAATAAGGCCAACTTAAGGAGGTGGCCAAAGTGTGGAGATGGCCAACTAAGGATATTCTAATGTATTTTTGAATACTTTGTGTAAAGCACTGCATTGACAATTTAGTGTGTATTTCCATGTTTACTTCTTGCTAAAATTATGGGTGGTGGGTACTACTTGCATCTCTTTTTAACAGTTGGGGAAAGTGAGACACATTAATAGTAATGAACTGTATCTAGTAAGAGGTGAAGACAGAATTCAAAATCAAATCTACCTCTTTTGTCTATGCCATCTTTTTCTTAAATTTCAGATTAATTTGAGGGTTAAAATGTTTAGGTTGCATTGTTTTCTTTTTTTAATTTATCTATCTAATTTATTTTTTCTTTTAATTTCAAATTAATATGAGGGTACAGATGTTCAAAGTACATTGTTTCCAGTTCTGAGGTGAAGTGAAAGTTATAGTTAAGCCCTTCACCCAGGGGCATGCTGAACATCCTCACATTGTTCACATTAGGTGAGATCCCTCCAGTTGCCCTCCTCTCCTCCCTCTCCCCTCCCTATTGCTAGACTAGACTTGTGTTGTTTTCTTTCATGTGGGTGTGTGGCTGTTTATACATATATTGGTTTAATATTAGTATTCAGCACATTGGATATTTTTTTCCATTCTTGAGATACTTTACTAAAGAAGGATGTGTTTCAACTCAGGGCAGGTAAACACAAAAGATATAAGGTCTCCATCTTTTCTTTTTCTTTTTTTTTTTTTTAACTTTAGCATTGAACTTTATAGAAACACAACACCAGTACAATAGAACAACAGTCAGAAAGGTAGTTTATTAATGGTGGCTCATTTCACTATGATCTCAAATACTAAACATCACAATCAGCATGAAAGATGTACAAGACAGCATAGAATCAACTGTGAAAAGCATCACTCAAGGATCATAACTCAAGGAACTCAAGAAATAAAAGGACAATCAGAGGCAAGTAATTAATCATACTAATTTTCTTGGTCTGCTTGAGGGTCATTTTGATTGCCTCTTTTGCTTTGCATTTCCTTGGCAAATTTCTCAACTTCATGGAATGCAGAAATAAGTGGTGCAAGATTGAAATCATCAGTGAACTCTTCTTTTTTGATATTGTTACCAATATTCTCAAATATCGCAAGAACAACTTGAACATTGTCCTGTGTCTCTTCCCTGTTAAAGAGGTTTATAAATTCTGACATTGTTTCATCACTAAGTAGTACTTTTGTCATTACAATGTTTTCAGACAAATTCAGTAGCATTTTCAGAACATGAAACTTTGTTTTGGTATTGCCTATAGCTAATAAGGAGAGAAACCCAGACATATAATTGGCAACCAGTGTGTGATAGTCAGTAGTAGTAGTCAGATGTCTTATCATTCTTATTCTAGAAAGCTGCTCAGGGGAATCCAAGTTACAAGTAAGGGTTTCCTCACACACTTGACATATGTACGTCTCAATCATGTTTAGATTTGGGTAAGGTGGAGCCATACGAATTATGTTTTCCAAAAACCTTGTTCTAACTCGGGAGGATGGATAATTGAGCAAGGTTTCAATAAGTGCAACAACACCAGCTTCTCGAATGAAATCTCGGATAAATTGAGAAGCACTTCTCATACCCATTGCAATCTTAGCTATTTCATGAATAAAAGGATCACGAATTTTGTCCATTAATAAAAGGAGTTCTTCAAACTCTTCAGAACCAATTTTAAGCTCACACTGTCTGCAGCTGCAAGACCAGTTCTCAGCCTCTGCACTGTCCTTGGCCCTAAGATGCTCTCGAATTTCCCGGACTGACCGGTAGGAAGGATCATACTGAAATGGGAACTCAGGATCAGGCTGATCAGGTTCAAGTTTAGATTCCTCTTCAGGGCTAAGTTCTGCCTGTGTGGGCTTTCCCCCAAACATTTCACAGAATAAAGATGCTGCTTCTTTTGGAAATCTAAAGGGGATTATGGATGAGAAACCAACCTTACCCCATGGACCAGGCTTGAACTGAACAGCTACTTCCTCCCAAGTCTGGGGCCTTTGTGAAGGATCAGGCTCCTGCTCAACTGAGTACCTTGATGCACAAATGGCCCTGAACACAGGTTTAGGATTTGATTCAAAATGGGTTTCATCTCCTGACCAGAACCAGGACCCCACTATGGCCTCATCCTCATCAGCTAATGTCTTAGACTCACAGTTGGTAGTACTACCAGTTCTCTTATTCATCTCATCTTCAGCTCCAACCCTAGACCCAGTAGCTGTCCCTTTCTCATTTTCTGGCTTGGACTCCCAGGAGGCCACAGATTCTGTTTCCTTAATGACCTTGTCTTCAGACCAGAACTGAGATTTAACAATAATAACCTTTTTGATAGTCTCTGACTTAAACGTAAAGCATGTCCCTGCTTCAGCCCCAAACCAGGATCCAAAAACAGTGTCCTCTTCAGTTTCTGACTCAGTCTCTTCTGCTGCCTGAGACCCAGTCTCTATATTGGCTTCTTCTTCAGCCCCAAACGAAGACCCCACAGTGATTTCCTCCTCCTGAGTCCCAGACTTAAACTCAAAGTTTTTTCCTGTCACTGCCTCCAGACTGGCCTCTTCTTCCCATAACCAGGGTCCAACAATCATTTCTTCCTCTTCAGCCTCTCTTCTAATGGTTTCTTCCTTGGACCAGAACCAGGATCCAATAATACTTTCCTCCTTAACTACTAGCCTGTCCTCTTCTCCAGCTTTAGCTTCTGCCTTCAGCCCGTCTTCTTTTCCAGTCCAGAGCCAAGAACCAAAAGTATCATCCTCCTCAGCGTCTGACCTGGACTTTTCTCTGTTGGTAGCCTCTATAATGGCTTCTTCATCTTCTTTCCAGAAACAAGAATTGATCATGGTATCCTCTTCAGCCAGTAGCTTGGCCTCTTCTCCAGTGCCATCTATACTACTCTCTTCTGCAGCTGATAACTGGGACCCTACAATGGCTTCTGGCCTTGTGTATTTTCCGGACCAGAACCATGAACTGACAGCATCCTCTTCTTCCTCTGGTCTATACTTCCAGGTTCCTCCATTGGCAGGATACATGTAGGGTTCTTCTGCCCAGGAGAACGACCTATTTTGAGTCTCCTGAGCCCCTGCCATAAATTTGAAACTGGCACCAGTCCCATACTTCATATTAACCTCTTCTCTGGACCCAAACCAAGATGACATAATGGCCTTTTCTTCGTCCTCCAGGCTAGACTTGCTGTTGATGTCAGCCTCTACACAAGCTTCTTCTCTAGCCCAGAAACAAGACCCAATAATGGGCTCCTCTTCCTCAGTCCCTGGCATGATATCACAGCTATTTTCAGCCCCAGAATCCAAATGGGTCTGGTTTTCAGCCCCAAACCAGGCACCAAATATTGTCTCTTCTTCAATTCCTGACCTGACCTGTTCTCTAATTCCAGTCTCCTTATCAATTGCTTCTCCAGCCAAGAGCCAGGGACCAATAACCTCTTCCTCAGAACTAGGCCTGGACTCACAGTTGACTCCAACAACAGATTCTACACTGTTCCCATTAGTGACCCAGAACCAAGGTCCAAAAATGGTCTCCTCCTCAGTCACTGGGTTGATTTCTTCACCAGTCCAGAACCAGGAACCAATAATGTCCTCCTCATCATCAGCTGCTAGTATAGATTCAGTGGTAGACTCAGTCCCAGTTTTCATACTGGCCTTTTCTCCAGTTGCAAGCCAGGAACCACCAAAAGACTCCTCCTTAGCCATTGGTTTGGAGTTACCGCTAGGCCCAGTCTCCATACTAGCATCTTCTTCAGTCCAGAAGCAGCTCTCAACAAGGGACTCATCTTCTATTTGTGGACTGGACTGGACACTGGCCCTATTCACCATGCTGGACTCTTCTGTAGCCCAGAGCCAAGTCCCAATGAGGACCTCCTCCTCTGACCTGGCTTCTTGCTTAGCCCTGGCTCTGGCCTTGGTTTTGGCCTCTTCCTTTGCTATTACTCTGGTCCTGGCATCTTTCTTGGTCTCGGGCCTTGACAAGGTATTAATGTTCTCTTCAGTCTGGAAGCAAGACTCTTTTTTGATTACATCTATATGTTCAGACATGAAATCAATGCAAGTTTCTCGCCTGGCCATGTGCCTGGCCCTGGCATTGGCCTCTTTTCTGGCTCTGCGTTTGGATCTGAATTTGGTCTCCTCTCTAGCCCAGAACCTGGACTTCATACGGTCTTCATGCTCAGATCCAGAACTTGATAAAATGTAGAGTTCCTGATTAGTTTTGAACCTAGACATAGTATTAGTCCCCTGTTTGGCCATGTGCTTAGTCCTGGTCCTGGCCTTTGTCCTGTTACTAGGATGACATCTTGTAGTGACCTCATCTCCATTCCAGAACTATGACCTCACAGAGGATTTGTCAACCCATCTGAAATTATAATTTTAAGAGGCCTCTTGAGCAGCACCTGTGGCTCAAAGGAGTAGGGTGTTTGGCCCCATATGCCAGAGGTAGTGGGTTCAAACCCAGCCCCGGCCAAAAATTGCAAAATAAAAAAGACCTCTTGTTTGGAGGTAGGCATGTGAGAGTGCCAGGACCCCATATTAATCTTATCATCATCTGACACAAGAGAAGGCTGGAAGACAGTTTGGGAATGGGTCTTCCTTCTGTGAAAGCTCTCAGTGTCCCTATTAACTAGTTCTCTATCTGTAGACAGGCACTTAGTTTTAGCAACCAACCCAGAATTAGTATTAACCACTGGAGAGGCATTGCTATGGGCAGTCCCCCGAAATTTAAATTGTGACCCAGCTATTGTCTTAGCCTTACTCTTAGTATGTGACCTACCCACTGCACTTGCTTCAATTTTTGGTCCTACTATGGCCATAACATTGGTCTTAGTTTTGGGTCTTGCCCTAGTAGTTCCCTGGGCCTGGGTCCTAACCTTGGGCCTGACCATAAGAGGGATTTCACAATCCACCTCAGCCCCTACTGCAACCTCTTTCCCAGCCTTCTTTTCAGGTTTGGCCTGAGCACTAGGCTCAATCTCCACATCAGTCATGGTATGAGTTACAGAGATAACCCAGTTAAATAGCCCTCCCTCAGTCTCAACCTTGATCACAGATGTGTCACAGGTTTGTTTCTTTACACGCTGATCTTTTGGTAATTAAGAATATGAGATTGGCAACAAGAGTTAGAGTCAATTACCACTCCAGAAGTCAATCAGCCTCCTTCCCATGCACAGACTCAGTGGGTGAGACAAAGTGCAGATGAAGCACAAGCAAGCTGGGGAAGATGGATGGTTCTTGGGTGGGTGTAGACTTGTTGAGGGTGTAGTCACCAGCAACCCCAGCACCACCAAAGCTGCCACTAGAGGTGGATCTTCACTGATGTGGTGAAATTTCCCCCTCCTTTTCTTCTTCAGGTGGTATCAAGCCCCACAATCAACAGCAAGGGTTCCAAACTCCAGAGGTTTGAGCCAGTCTCCTCTTCTTATCTTTTCTTGCAGAACTGACCAGCCTTAAAGCAGGCCTCTCAAAATCCAGGCCATTTTCGAACTCCTTTTCTCAAGCCTCTTTTCTACAGATGCTCACTGTAGCCTGTCAGAATACGCCAGACTTTCCTAGGCTCAGGGCCCAGGTTGTCAGCTTCCCCTCCTGTCCGCTCCTCTGCTGCAGCTCTGCTCTCTCTCCATCTTTTCTTATGGCTGAATAGTACTGCATGGTATACATACACCACAGTTTGTAATCCATTCATGGATTGATGGGCACTTGGTTTCTTCCATGTCTTGGCAACTGTGAATTGAACTGCACAAATATTCTGATGCAAATGTCTTTGTGATAAATTTATTTTTCCTCTTCTAGGTAGATACCTAGAAATGGGATTGCAGGATCAAATAAAAGGTTGATTTTTAGCTCTTTGAGGATTCTCCATACTTCTTTCCATAAAGGTTGTATTAGTTTGCAATCCCAGCAACAGTATATCCATGCCACCATCTGTGGTTTTGGGATTTTGTGATGTGGGTTAGTCTCACTGGAGTTAGGTGCTACCTCAGAGTGGTTTTGATTTGCATTTCTCTGATGACTAGAGATGATGAGCATTTTTTCATGTGTTTGTTAACTATTTGTCTGTCATCTTCAAAGAAGTTTCTATCAATATCTCTTGCCCACTTATAGATGGGGTTGTTTGCTCTATTCTTGTTGATTGAGTTCTCTGAGATTCTTTTTATCAGTCCTTTGTCAGATTTGAAACATGAAAATATCTTCTCCCTTTCTGAAGATTGTCTGTTTGCTTTAGCTGTGGTACCGTTAGCTATAGAGAAGTTTTTTAGCTTGATCACGCCACATTTATTTGTTTTTGATGTTGCTGCAATTGCCAGGGATGTCTTCCTCATAAAATCTTTTCCCAAGACAATTTTGTCAATAATTTTCTCCACACTATTTTCAAGAATTTTTAATATTTTTTTTGCTTATTAAATTTAAATCTTTATCCAGAGAGAGTCACTTTTTGTCAATGGTGAGAAGTGCAAGTCTAGTTTCAGTCTTCAACACATGGCTAACCAGTTCTCCCAGCACCATTTATTAAATAGGGGTTCATTTCCCCAGTGCATTCTTTTGTTTGGTTTATCAAAGATCAAACGGTGATATGTGGCTGGGTTCATTTCAAGGTTCTCTATTCTATTCAGTAGGTCTATTTTCTCTATATTTGTGCCAGTATCATGCTGTTTTGATCACTATAGACTTGCAGTACAACCTGAAGTCTGGTAAGATGATGCCTCCAAATTTGTTTTTATTTCTCAAAACTGTATTGGCTATTCAGGTTTTTTTTTTTTTTTATGGTTCCATATGAAACAAAGTATTTTTTTCAAGTTCTTCAAAGTATGGACATTGGTGCTTTGATGGGATTGCATTAAATCTGTAGATTACTTTGGGTAATATGGACATTTTAGTGATGTTGATACTTACCAGTCACAAGCATGGTATTTTCTTCCATTTGTGAACATCTTTTGTTGCGTCTTTTCCCAGAGTTTCATAATTCTCTCTATAGAGATCCTACACATGCTTTGTTTGATATATTGACAGGTATTTCATACTCTTTGGAGCTACTATAAAGCTATCATGTATTTGATTTTATTCTCAGCTTGACTGTTATTGGCATATATGAAGGCTGCTGATTAGTGGACATTGTTTTTTTCTCCTGAGACATTACTATATCTCTTGATCACTAGTAAGAGCTTTGTAGTTGTGTCCCTGGTATAAGAACCAGGTATAAAACCATGTCATCTGCAAAAAGCAAGAACTTGACCTCTTCTGTCCCCATTTGAATACCCTTGGTCTCCTTCTGTTGCCTTATTGCATTGGCTAGGACTTCCAGCATTATATTGAATAGTGGTGGTGATAGTGGGCATCCTTGTCTACTTCCAATTCTAAGTGGAAATACTTTCAGTTTTACTCCATTCAATATGGTATTGGCTGTGGGTCTGTTGTAGATGGCCTCTATAAGTTTAAGAAATGTCCCACTTAAGCCTATTTTCCTCAGTGTTCTTGTCAAAAAAGGATGCTGGACATTGTAAAAATCCCTTTATGCATCAATTGAGAAAATCATGTGGTCTTTTTATTTATGTGCAATTACATCCATGGATTTACATATGTTGAACCAACCTTACATCCCTGGGATAAAACCCACTTGATCACAATCTATATTTCTTTAATTCGTCATTCTATTCTGTTTTCTAGGATCTTTATGACTATTTTGGATAGGTATTTGTTAATGATATTGGCCTATAGTTTTCCTTTTTCATTGGATCCTTTCCTGGTTTTGGAATCAGGGTAATATTTGCTTCATAGAACATGTTAGGGGAGTATTCCATCCTTCTCTATGTTTTGGAATAGGTTATGCAAGATAGGTACTAGTTTGTCTTTGACGGTTTGGTAGAACTCTGGTGTGAAACCATCTGGTCCAAAGCTTTTCCTTCTTCTTCTTCTTCTTTTTTTTTTTTTATTAAATCATAGCTGTGTACATTAATGCAATTATGGCATACAATGTGCTGGGTTTATATACAATTTCAAATACTTTCATCAAACTGGTTAACATGGCCTTCACCACATTTTCTTAGTTATTGTGTTAAGACATTTATATTCTACACTTAGTAAATTTAACATGAACCCTTGTAAAATGCACCATAGGTGTGGTCCCACTAATTACCCTCCCTTCACCCATCCTCCTCCCTCCCCTCCCATCCCCCTCCTCTTTTCCCTTCATCTTGGGCTTTAGTTGGGTTATAGCATTCATATGGAAGTACGGTTTTATAGTAGGGCTGAGTACATTGGATACTTTTTCTTTCATTCTTGAGATACTTTGCTAAGAAGAATATGTTCCAGCTCCATCCATGTAAACATAAAACAGGTAAAGTCTCCATCTTTCTTAAGGCTGCATAATATTCCATGGTGTATATATACCACAATTTATTAATCCATTCATGGGTCGATGGGCACTTGGGCTTCTTCCATGACTTAGCAATTATGAATTGGGTTGCAATAAACATTCTGGTGCAAATATCTTTGTTATAAAGTGATTTTTGGTCTTCCGGATGTTTGAATTGAAGGATGGAATGACAGGTCTATTTTTAGATCACTAAGTGATCTCCAAACATCTATTCCTGAGGCAGTACCTTCTTGGGGTAGGGTGTGGCAGGGAAAGAGGCTAGAATAGCGATGCAGAGGCACCATACTCCCCAGGGCGGGCTGAGTCAGAATTGCTGCTTTTGTGAGCCCAAGATGTGCCTGGCTCCCAGTGGAACATACCTGAGACAAAAGCAGGCATGGCAGCGGCCATCAGCTTAGGGAGGGGCTTTTCTCTGTTGGAAGTTTTATGTAGTTGATGCAATTTCAGTGCTTGATGTAGATCTATTCAAAATTTCTAATTCTTTCTGGTTGAGTTTAGGAAGGTGGCTGGTGTCCAGGTCTTCATCCATTATTTTTTTCATTTTTAAATTTCTTATTGCCCATATCTGTAGCTGATTTATTATACTTTGCCTCTTTATATTCCTCCATTAGTGCCTTTGCAGATAATACTAAAGAAGAAGCCACCTCTTTCCAAAGGCCTAGATTATACTTGAATTTGTTTTTTATTTTTGAAAAATTCACATTTTTGAGTAAGCTTTATAGGAAATTTCTAAATAACAAAGGGATAATCCTCCTTCTGCAGGAAAGCCCTCCTCCTAGCTATGATGATGAGGGTAAATTGCACATGAAAATTAGATAATAAACAAAGAAATCTGTGGCTCAAGTGGCTAAGGTACCAGCCACATACATCTAAAGGTGGGTTTAAATCCAGCCTGGGCCCACCAAACAACAATGATGGCTGCAACTAAAAAAAAATAGCCAGGCGTTGTGGCAGGCGCCTGTGGTCCCAGCTACTTGGGAGGCTGAGGCAGGAGACTCGCTTGAGCCCAGGAGTTGGAGGTTGCTGTGAGCTGTGATGCCATGGCACTCTACCCAGGGGGATAGCTTGAGGCTCTGTCTACCAAAAAAACCAAACAAAAACAAACAACCCCCCCCAAACCTTAGCATATGAGTTAACTGGTAATTTCCAATGTTTATTCCATTGAGTAGCAAGGCACTTTTTTAAAACAAAACAATTACCCAGGCATAGTTCAAACTTAAATCTTTTCTCCTGATTCTCTCTTCCTAAACCCTGAATACAGAGAATCCCCTATGGATCCTGAGGGATGACTGTATATATAGATACATGTATTTAGAACTGGTTCTTAAAAGAATTACAGGGTCAAATTTATACAATTAAAAATTTTTATAGATGTTGCCAAGTTACCATCTTAAACATTTATTCTAAAAGTATATTATCACCAACTGTGTATGACACAACCCATAATATCCTATCAAAAATTGGATATTATATCCCTTTAATATGGTATCAATAATGTGGTGAAATGTGTATTAATGTATATTTCTCAAATTATTTGTGAATTTTAACATTTTATGTTTTTGATCAGTTGTTATAATTTCTTGACTCCTCAGTTCATATCTTTTCCAAAACTTTCTT